ACTGTTGGAGGCACAGGGTCATCGTATTTATCATTTGTTTTTTTGAAGAGTAGTGAGAGAAAAGTCAAAACCCTCTGAGGTTTGGAATCTAACCCATCTTTGCATCATTTTTAATACTGATTTTCCTGCGGCTTAAATCAATCCTCCCACTACCCGCAAGAGGCTACTGGGATCTGTCCTGTGAACCCCCTCCTTTTCCCCTAGCATACTGCTCTGTGATGATCTCATTCTCCACTCATATATCTTCACATTCCATCTGTAGGCCGATAACTCATAAATCTGCCCCTTCTTTCATGGCTTGTCTCATTTCATCTCATCCTGTCTCATGTCTCTTCTTGGGTGTTTTGTTGTCAGTTATGAGTCATTGTAACTTAGGCTTAATTCACATCTGAAAACCTCTTCCCTCCCCCCATTAGTGTTCGATTTATACTACTTAGGTCCAATGAATGCCCTGCCTCCAGAAAAAAAAATAGAGAAAAGGAAAAAAAGATCAATTCTTTTTTTTTTTAACATTATGAACGAAAGCACACTTTTAGATCACAAGTTCAGGAACTTCCAACATGAAGGCTGTCAACTAAATCATCATTATGTCTGAATTTTTTATTTTCTTCCTCCCCAATGTCTTCGTTGTATTTAGATTTTACAGCTGACAGTCAACTAACCACTGCTACCTTGTCTTCATTTTGCAGTAGGAGCCGCTCACGCCTGGGCTGTGTAATGGGTGCAAAGCTGTCATTTTGAAACACAGGCATCCAAACGTCACCATCAAGTTAACAGCACCCAGACACCACCATCACCACTCAATGCAGAATCAATGTTCAAAAAAAGCAACCGATACTCCTGCACCTTCTGAAACCATCGCCTTGGTTACAAGATGCACCAAACAGGCATGAAAGAAGTGGTTAACACAATTAAGTGGAATAACCCTGTATCATATCCTCTATTAGTATTTTGGTACTAATTCTTCCTGTACTCAATGCAGAGTGGATTGGACCAAGAAGGACTAAGGTTCCGAGACTTTTTGTAGAGTTTTCCAATTAGGAAAAGTTCCTTTTAAATGCCATCATCTTCTAGAAATACTGACTGTGATAAATACACTGATTTCAAGTTTTTCAGGTCCCAAAATTACAGAAAATTTGTGAAATTGAAGTACTTCATAGAATCATAGAATCATAGAATCGTCTAGGTTGGAAGAGACCCTTGGGATCATCGAGTCCAACCATCTACCCTACTCTACAAAGTCCTCCCCTACACCATGTCCCTTAGCACTGCATCTATCTCACTTCTGTGAAAACCAAAATGAATTAAAATCTGCATACCTCAAAGATAGCAACACTTGTAAGTAGCTTTGTTATATTAGAATTGTAATTTATTTAGAAAATAGTGTATTGGGCTAGTGTTAGAAATATGAAAGGTTTGCAATGAGTATTAAGTGTAATTTTTTCCCCAGAGGAGGAAAAAAAATCTTCCTCTCTAAAGTAGCTTGTTACTCATAGTTATTCAAATTATATATAGTTTGAAATTTCTAAGAGGAAAATCTGACTTTTAGATTTTTCTTATTTTGAGGGAATTAGAAGTACTGGAATGATCACAACCTGAAATTTGAAGTTAAGCCTATTTTCCCCATAACTGTAAGTTTTTAGAACATTAAGTAAGGTCATATCTGAAATACTGGATGTTTGATTTGACAATCACCTTTGGGCACACAATTAGTCCTTGATTTCAGGTTATAGAATGTTCTCAGGCACTATTCTTCCTATCTATTGTCAATAAAATTTGTATAAGGCTCACTTCTCCAGTCTTAAAGAGTGTTAACTCTTCTGAAGGAACTGCATAACTGAGTAGTTAAACACTTTTTAATCTTGAGCGTACCTATTTTCAAAAGGCTTAAAATTAACATGATTTAGATGCAATTAATCTTCTTATAGGAAAATAGTATCACTCGTCAAAGTTGAAGAGAAACTTTTCCTAAATCTACATTAGGAGATTCTGACAGCAGTTTCCTGTGCCTACAGTGAGAACTGTAGCTCCAAAGAGAGACTGAGGATGTTTCTGAAGGCCAGTGGTGTGACTCAAGGTTCAAAATCACTGGAAGAAAACCAAGAGTTTCCACCACTGACTTGCATTTTGTGATGCTGCAGCTAGCAACTGCTTGCATTGGAGGACCAACGTTACAAAAAAAAAAAAAAGCCAGTGAAGACAAAATAGTGAAATGAAAAGCACTACTAATACTACAGAATCATTCACTGGTCCCATGTGTTACATCTGTATTACGTGTAGAAAAACTTGTTGCTCTGGGATTTAATTCCAATTTTGTGTATGAGTTATGTGAGGCTCACTCAGATGAAGCAAACTGAACAAAGTCAAAGAAGAAGTTTGGTAGCAAAATCCGAAAAAGTACATCAATACTGTCTACGAACACACTGCCAAAACCACGGGAATGCACACATAATAAAATACAAACGTGAATAAATATCTGGAAGCTGATACAGTGTGCAGTTCAGGAATTAAAAAAATATTGAGTGACTTTGCTGTTTACTTATATTTGCTTTTCAGACAGTCACATATGGTATACCATTTTACAAGAGTGATTTTTCACATATTAGTGACATAACCATTAAATATATGCCCCCAGGAGGTACCTCTGCTTTTGTGGTTTTGTTTAAAATATTTAATTATGAACGATAGTTTGCAATGTTAATTGTAACGATTTAATGATTGTAATGAGATAATATAAGATTGTAATGACTATGCAAGTAAAATATTTTCTCTGAATCCACTTTGTATTGATGCACTCTGCAAACACAACTCTTACCTTTACGCCTGCTTCACTGAATTAATCAGCTATAAAGGGACCTAGCTGTGTACAGTCGATATCTCCATACTATTATCATAAGACAAAAATGTGCGCAATTACTTGTTGCCATTAAGTTACCAGTTTGCTCATCTATAGCACGTGTGTCATCACCTGCTCACAAAGAGCTTTGTGGGCCCAGGTGAACCTCATGAGGTTCAACAAGAGCAAGTGCAAGGTTCTGCACCTGGGCCGGAACAATCCTCGCCACCAATACAAACTAGGGGGTGAGGTGTTGGAAAGCAGCCCTGAGGAAAGGGACTTGGGGGTGCTGGTGGACGAGAAGCTGGACATGAGCAGGCAGTGGGCACTTGCAGCCCAGAAGGCCAATCGCATCCTGGGCTGCATCAAAAGAAGCGTTGCCAGCAGGTCCAGAGAGGGGATTCTGCCACTTTACTCTGCTCTGGTGAGACCTCACCTGGAGTATTGTGTGCAGGTCTGGAGCCCTCAATACAAGAAGGACATGGACCTGATGGAGAGGGTCCAGAGGAGGGCCACAAGGATGATCAGGGGGATGGAGCACCTCTGCTACAAGGACAGGCTGAAGGAACTGGGGTTGTTCAGCCTGGAGAAGAGGAGGCTCCGGGGAGACCTAATAGCAGCCTTCCAGTACCTGAAGGGAGCCTACAGGAAGGCTGGGGAGAACCTGTTTAGAAAGGCCTGCAGTGACAGGACGAGGGACAATGGCTTCAAGCTGGAGGGGAACAGATTTAGACTGGAGATGAGGAGAGGGTTCTTCCCTGTGAGGGTGGTGGAGCACTGGACCAGGTTGCCCAGGGAGGTGGTTGAGGCCCCTTCCCTGGAGATATTCAAGGAGAGGCTCGACGAGGCCCTGGGCAACCTGGTCTAGTTGGGGGTGTCCCTGCTGACTGCGGGGGGGTCGGACTAGATGACCCTTGGAGGTCCCTTCCGGCCTGGGAAATTCTATGATTCTATGAAAAGTGATCACACAATTGTTCTCCTTGCTTCAGAGACACATACCATAGACTAAACAGACCTACACTACTTCTCCCTGTATGTGCTCGTAAAACAAAAATCTATTTTTCTATAATCTAGAAATTTACAACCTTTCTCTAGATTACCCTTGCAACTACAAAGTCCCATTTCTCCACTGGGAAGAATTGCAAATGTCTTGTTTCCATTCAACTGTACGCACAACATATACACTACTTAAATCTCACTAAAATGCTTGAGGCCTAGCAAGAGGTACACAGGACCTTCTGTCACCTTTGGGAACCAAAATGAATTTCACCCTCACTGCAGGCCTAACCGAGGGCTTATGCAGTTCCCAGGATCTAGTTCCTGAGGTCAGTGGGAGTTTTATTGTGCCTTAGTCCATCAGTAGAGGAGAGCCTGTTTATTTTGCTCCAGTGAACATCAGAAAAGCACCTGCTTCCTCCACTGTTCCTCAGATGGCCATCAGTTCTCTGGGTGGTAAGAGATGGTAAATCTGACTCAGCCAACAGATGGGATGGAACATGACAGGCTGAGGGAGCTGGGATTGTTCAGCCTGGAGAAGAGAAGGCTCCGGGGAGACCTTATAGCGGCCTTTCAATACCTGAAGGGTGCCTACAGAAGAGCTGGGGAGGGACTCTTTGTCAGGAGGTGTAATGATAGGACAAGGGGAAACGGTTTTAAATTGGAAGAAAAAAGATTCAGATTAGATCTCAGGAAGAAATTCTTTACTATGAGGGTGGTGAGACACTGGAACAGGTTGCCCAGAGAAGCTGTGGCTGCCCCATCCCTGGAGGGGTTCAAGGCCAGGTTGGATGGGGCCTTGAGCAACCTGGTCTGGTGGGAGGTGTCCCTGCCCAGGGCAGGGGGGTTGGAACTCGATGATCTTTGAGGTCCCTTCAAACCCAAACCATTCTATGATTCTATGATTCTATGATCCAGAAGCATCAGTATGTGTTGAACTTTGAGCGGCAAGTCAGACACACTGCTTTTTCAACACTAGCTTCATCTTTAAGTTGTGTGGTAGCATTCTGACCAAACAGCTTTAATCCTTCTTGTGACTTTTTCATTTATTTTATGTTGTTTTATCACCACCTTGCGTGAGTGAACAAGAACTCCTTCAGGTGCATGAACTGCAGAGTACCCCACATCCTGCACCAATTACTGGTATACGTAACAAAAGCGCAAATACCTGAACTCCTTGCAGATCAGTCTCGAATGTCTCCTCTTTGTGTGTCTTGAGTTCATTTTGCCAGATTACTACTTCATCTTTTTAGGGGCAGCCTGAGACAGATAAGCTGTAACAGCAGAAGAAAAAGCTATCTGAGTACGATTTTCATCAGAAAATGCAGAATAAACACGGCAAAAGCCAAAACATCATAAAATAAACATTTAAGTACTGTTACCCCCTACAGTCTCCTTTACTGATAAATGTGACATACCATGCAGAGCAGATAAACAAGAAACAGTAAACAACCAATGTCATTTCACAGGAAAGGATGGAAAATATCTGCCCTTTTCCTTTAAGTGGCTTTGAACTTTTTGAACCGAGTTGCGCTCACCACTATTGGCAGCGATCAACCCTTTGGTGGATTTAGTGTCTTCTTCATCAACCTCTTGTTTTTCCCTTCTTCAGTTGACCCAGAAAACATATTAACTCAAGTACAGTATCTCCCTTAAGATCTACACCTAAGTCCCACCTCACTGGCTTGGGACTACTCACACAGAGTACACACTTTACAGCAAAACTACACTCAAAACCTATTGAAAACTTTCTCTCTATTGGTTAGTCAGGAATTGGAAGAATGAGAAACAAACCACTTGTTGTACAGCGAGGCCAAATCATCTACCACACAAACTGGCATAAGCTTGCATTGAGTGGAGTGATGCTGTGCCAGTTTATACAAGCAGAAAATTTGGTCGCTGCATGGGTAAAAATCTCTGTGAAATATCTTTGAATTCATCAGAATAAACACCAGAAAAGCCTCTTCTCCCAGGCTGGTAAGAAAATGCTTGTTCTATTTTTGTGAAAGAGCCAGTTCACTGACATTAACACAAAGATAAATCAACACACACACACACAAATATTGTAACTTCACACAGATCTAGGTGAGAACGAAAATGTTACAGAATATCCAAAGTACACTTCAGTTCTTGTTCTGTATTTTTCTTGACCCCCTCGTCTTTCAAAAACCTAAACTCAAAATTTTAAACATCAAATAAATGTTTTAAACACCAAATAAATGATTCAAGGATTGGAGCATCTCCCTCATGAAGAAAGGCTGAGAGAGCTGGGACTCTTTAGCCTGGAGAAGAGAAGGCTGAGGGGAGACCTTATTAATGCTGACAAGGATCTCAAGGGTGGGTTGAAGGAGGAGGGAACCAGACTCTTTTCAGTGGTTCCCACTGAGAGGACGAGGGGCAACGGGCACAAGTTGGGACATAAGAGGTTCCACTCAAATATGAGGAAGAACTTCTTCACAGTGAGGGTGACAGAGCCCTGGAAGAGGCTGCCCAGGGAGGGTGTGGAGTCCCCTTCCTTGGAGATTTTCAAGACCCGCCTGAATGCTCCTGAGTGACATGCTCTGACAAGCTCTAGGCAATCCTGCTTCAGCAGGGGAGTTGGACTAGATGACCTTTATGGTCCCTTCCAACTCTAAAAATTTAGTGAAATTCAGTGAAATAAGAGGCATTCTCCTCCTCACTGCTTCTTCCAAATCCTGTTAGCTGGTGGTACAGAGTATGCAGTAGACATACTTGGTGCAGGACTGAACCACTCTCCCTGGAGGTGGCCTGGACTGAGAGAGTGGTCACTGCACGTGTATCATAACCACTTCTAGACTGCCTGTGTCCATTCACCTACCTCAGCCATTATTCTTGACATGATGCCTCGATTTAAGCTTCCCGTTTATCTTAAAAAATAACCATCGGTGTGATCTGGGTTTTAACCCTCCTTGCTCTCCTGTCTACTGCAAAGGACTGCATGTTTGAAAATACGTATTCTAAACTACAATTAGTAGATGTATACAATACTTAGTTTCTTCTACCTTCAAAAAACAGCTGGATGGAAGTCAGTGGTCATCACAGATAAGCAGCTCCTCCAACCAGACACTATCATGGGTCTGTAACAGTCACAAGTCCAAGTTTCCACTGCCCCCTGATTCTTCAGTTCTTTGCTTCTTATCGTTAGATACTGATTACAGCAGATGGTAGAGTGATGTGTCATGTGGTCAAAGACCACACAGCAACATGCAGCTCTAACTCAAATCCAGTTCCAGCAACAGAAGACTGACATGTTAGTTCCCAGTTTCAAATGCTTACGATTGCTAAGTTTTGCCTTTTTAGTAATATCAGAATCGACACATACATTTCAAATGGGTTCTAAAATGCATCTACTGTGCACGTAAAGTACTTTCCATAAAGGTATTCTTTCATTAAATATCGCTGAGCTCGGATCTCTCATGAATATTGATGCGAGCTGAAATTTTGAAAACTTGGGGCTATGTGATTTTAGAAGACGCAATCTTCCCTAAGAGTAATTTCTGAAGATTTTGGGTCCCTTTGAAAATTCCTGAAGCTGACCACCCAAAATCACTAACTATTTTCCAATCTTAAGGCAAAGTATATTGTGAAAAGTGATGGAGTGGCCACTATTTCGAAGAGATCAGAAGATTTACACATCAGTAACATCCCATGGAGTTCAAAACCGTGTCCGTTCCTGGTAGCCAAATTCTGCCATTAGCAGCAAGTACATAATCTCACTGAAGTAAGCTGTGAGGCTAGAGTGGAAAAGGATAGATAAAGACGACTCTGTGCACCAACTGCAGGGATTCTAAAGCTGAGGATCTAATAATTAGTCTTATCTCTATCAAGGTGCAACAGAATAAGCTGAGAAGCTCAAGAATGCCTGACAAGGCCCTAGGGCTCTTCACAGCTACAGAGAAGCCTCATTGTTCTGGAGAATTTTAAGGATGAGCTCACGTGGAGAGAACATGAGAAATTCCTTTCTCCTGCCATGCTGCTGATGGGGATATCTGGAAGGTACACTTATCTACACAGCTTTTCCTTCCCACAAACCACAGCAATGCTGGAGGTTCCCCACTGGGATCCCCTTTACAGGGCTCTTCAGGCACCGTGAGCAGTGGGGTGCCCAAAGAACAGCCTCTGGGGCAGCCAAACTTCTGCTCTCCTCTGGTGGGGAAGCCCAAGGGAAAACTCACTTTAAAGGGAGAGACGTCTTTCTTGAAGTTCTTACATTTCAATCTCTGCTCTGCACAAGATTTATTCTGGATACTTTAGTTCATTAAGGCAAATGTTTAGAATTAGAGGTTTGTTGGTGGTGACTACTACGAATTCAAATGGTAGCTGAGACTTCATCTTCCAAACTGAAGGAAACATCCAGGAAAAGAAGGTGCTCCTTCCTTCTCTATGCTCTAATACAAACTCAAACGAAATACTAGCAGGTAGGAATGCAGTCACACACTTCGTGTCTTTCTCTGTGTGACATTAAAGTGCCTGAGTAACTGGTTTATAGGACTCTTCCTCCAAAACCAGAGCAGTTTCTCTATGAAACGTGCAAATGATACAGCACCGAACTGATAAGGATCTATCTCTATCTGCAAAATTTAAGTTTCATTATCCTTCTATTTTAAGCCATGGTGGTAACTAGAACAGACAAGATAGGATTGTTTCTTCCTAATGTTCACAGCTGCTCCCCTTTCCCATCAATGTTTTGCTGAACAGGCAGGGCAAACGCTTTAACAGCGCGTCCTGACTGCCATGTCCTATGCAGCCATTAGGATAGTTTTCCACAGATGGCAAATTCTTGTTCTACAGGCCATCCCTTCAACTGTCTGGAGGAACAGGGGGTGTCTCAGCAAGCCTTGTTGCAGCTATTTTCTGTGACCAACCACTTACATATTCTCTGAAGAAAATAATCAAAGAATTAGTTACACCAAACCCAAAAGGGAATATATGCTCTTTGCATTAGCATGGTACTAGGGACTCACTCGGACAGAAATTGCATCATGGGTCTTTTGCAAATTCCCACTGAAAGCAAGTGGAATTTTGCCACTGGCTTCAAGGAGAGTTGGAATGGCTTTTGTGTTATTTTAAAGTGCAACAAACAATATCCTTTTCCTTGGGCAACAGAAAATACTGCACTTGGGATATAAAAATTTGTTTGACTATGAAAAAGGACCCAAAGCTTCTATTTTTAATGCCCCAGCCTTTTCAATGCCTACAGCCCTCCAGCCAGCTGCACTGCTTTAACAGAACAGCAGTAGAAGAGAAACTGGAAAAAACACCGTAACTGAAATATAAGCAAATGACCTAATCTACAACATGGATCTGCAGTAAGTCTGATTCCATGGCTAGTAAAGTCCAAGACAAGTTTCATCTTCAAAGAAAGCAGCAGCAGATCTTTACTTAGTATAATAAAGTGTGAGCAGTTTGCAATTTCATATAGTTAAAACACGTTGACCATAGTGAGTGCTTATGCCACGTGATCTTTTTTTTTCAAGTTTCCTAATGCTCTCACAGGGTCCAGAGATGTCTTTTTGTGTTTTCTAAGAGAGACAAAAAAAGAAATGGGGTCAGAGGGGAAGTAAATAGGAGATTTGGGTTATATTACATCTTCCTTTCTCAAGCAGATGACAAATTTTATCACTCTTACTCCATGATTAACTTGTAATTACCTGGGATATTGTTGAGGCTTTCAAAACTTAACTTAATTCACCCCAGTATCAACTGATAAAGCAAAATCAGACCTTTCTTTATACAGCCTGCAAAAAAAGTATTACTGGCAGGCCGAAGCACGCAAACGAAAGTGAATACCTTTATTTGTTTCATGATTTGTACAAACACACCTTTTGCAGCCTCTAGTGCACACCTAGCAATTCTGAAAACCCAACAGCTGCATGGTACCGCTGACGTTTATACTAGACTGGGCAAGGAAATCCACAAGGAAATGCCATTTAAATAGAAATTCTGACCCATAGTGTGCCTACCGTACTCCACAGATCTGTTCTCTGCCAAACTCAACTAGTCCAAGTCTGCCATCGTGTGTCCCATCTGCCCTTCCAGGGACCCTGTGCCGGCAACCTCCCGCAGATAAATCACCCGAGGAGCTTGTTCCAGGAAGGGCCTCTCACGCCGCACGCAGAGAAGGCAGATGGGATTTGCTGCAAGCCACAGCTTGATCATCCTGAGACAACGCCACTCCTTAGCCAGCCCCTTGCCTGGCCCTTGTAACACACACAAAGGACCCCACCGGGGCCATTTGCATCCAGTCCCATAA